CCCATGCTGGTCCAATAAATCAGGAATGGGCTGTCCTACATCAGTCCAATAAATAGGGAATGCCGGAACAGGCAGCGAGAGCAAACAACGAGGAGATGCCGAACAAGAAATAGGAGAAAGATCAGGAATGCAAAGGGGGCTGCGGAAACACCGACCCCTCATGCTCGTGGCCATGGATTTGGGCATTCCCAGGATTTCCTGGAGGGTCTGGTGCTCTCAGCAGGGCCCGCAGGAGCCGCGGAAGAGGCGGCTGAAGCGGCGTGACACCGAGGGGCCGCAGGAGCCGTTGGCCAGAGCCGAGATCCCGTATCCAGAGCGGGCGCCATATCCCGGGAAAGCCCCGGAGCTGTAGAGACTCCCAAAACCCAGGGAGCCACCAAAGGCCGGGGCTCCAGCAGATCCCACCACGGCCTGCTGCGGGAAGGAGCTGAGGATGGGGCCGGGGAAGGTGACCACCACCGGGGGCGGCTGGATGAGGGCGGTGGAGTCCGGACACTGCCGGACACACGGCTCGTTGCAGCTGTTGGCCACGGGCTGCGGGCAGGAGATGCTGCCAGTGGTGGGGCAGAGGTCGTAGCAGGACATTTCCCGGCAGGGGTGGAGGTTCCTGGAATGGAGAGAAGGAGCTGCTGAAAACCGAGGATCTACGGAAGGGGCAGGTGGAGGTTTGGGGGAGCTGGGAAATGTGGGAAGATTTCCCCAGGGGAAAAATTGGGGTGAGATAGGAGCAGGTTTGGGGTTGGGAGAGGTGGGATGGGATGGGATGGGGTGGGATGGGGTGGGATGGGATGGGATGGGGTGGGATGGGATGGGATGGGATGGAGATGGAGATGGAAGGGGAGTGGGATGGAGATGGGGTGGGATGGAGATGGGATAGGATGGAAAGAGCACAATTCCTTCATCAGATAAAAATATGGATCTAAACCATTTTTCCACCTGGATATCTGGGCCTAAAAGCCTTTGGTTTAATGTTTTTTCCCAGTAAAACTATTATTTTATTCACTGGGTCAGAGCATGAGTACTTTCCTTCATTTTTGCTGTGGTGAAAATAACTAAATAATGCAATATTTTTATATTTTTATATATAAAAATGACTGGAATTAAAATAAACTCTTTCTTCAGCTGGATAGCTCAGGACACAGACAAATTTCCCTGATTCAGCCACGGACTGAAATGCAGGGGAATTCAGCATTTTAAAGCTTGTGTCATCCTGAATTTTCATTCTGCTGTCAGTCCAGAAATGGCCAAATATGAATAACAGGAAAAAAAAATTCCTAAATAAAAAATGCGTCATGTGGATTTGGCTCTTAAACCCTTGCAGTAGAATACTTGTCAGGATACTGCAAAAATGAAAATTTAAAGAATAAAAAGAAGAACAAGGGAAAAATAAAGCCCTGAAAATTAATATAATAGTTGCGAACAGCAACTGGAATGAAAAGTCAAAAAGCAAAGGCATTATGGAGCTGGGAGAGGAATGATTGGACTTACCTGATGGAGAGGAGAAAAGCAGGAGAATGATGGAAAAGCTCCGCAGAGCTGCTGCTTTTATACCAACCCTGGGATGCCCCGGGGCTGAACACGCCGAACCCGGGAGTCGCCACCTCGGACGAGCCCAAATCACTCCCCAAAGTGACGAAACTCTCCCGGCTTTGCAAAACCACCCTGAATCTCTGCCCCGCAAGGTCGGCACATTCCAGCTGCCGGCTCCCTTTCATCTCGGATCCTGATGGAGCAGCTCCATCCCTCCCAGCGGGAATTAAATCCCATTTGCTAAGCCCTTCCTTCATTAGCATCATTAATGATTTTAATCGGAGTCAGAACCTGCTGCCGTGCACAAGTTTGGGTTTAAGGGCTCCGGATTTCGGCTCTCGTCACTTCTGCTCCCAGATTTTGCAATGGAATGCTTGGAGAGGTGCAAGGAGCCTCCTGATGGGTTTTGCACCCACAGCCACAAACCTCAGGTAGTTGTGGGAATTGTGGGTTTGCCCGCTGGGATTGGGAAATTCCCGATTTTCCTCAATGCAGAAAACACAATATTTTAGTACCTAAAATAGGGCTTAAATCAAAGTTTGTTGGGTTTTTTTCTGGAGGGATATCAGTGGTTTTTTCACAGATGAACATCACTAGATGAACTAGATGAACATCCCACTTCAAAACCCCTCATTTGCTGTGGATGAGTTATTAAATAAACACATTCCTACCAAAGTTACACTGAAGTTGGGAGCTTCTTCGGGATGTCCCCAGGGGATTACAGGAATAATTTCTCCCAAAAGGTGTCCAAATATTTTTGGGTGTGTTTTCAAGCACTTCTCAAACCCTCCTTAATTGTTTATGCATGAAATTCGGTGTGATTATTGCAATATAAATGTGTGGTTTTGTTCTAACATCCCAGTATTTTGAAACATAATTAAAATTAGACTTAAAATTATTATTAAAAATAAAACATTTTAAAGAAATTGTCCAAGTGAACTCTTCCTGTTCCCTCCACCAGCTCATGGCTTCTCACTTCAGTGGATTTTCTTATCTAATTTAAGTTTTCATTTATTTGGGTGAGTTTCTTCTTCAGTGCTGATGTTTTAACTCACATTTTCTCTGTAGCCTGAACATCTGTGAGACAAAACACGGATCTGAACGGTGTAAAAAATATCTGCAATTTCCTCGGAAAAGTTCTGAATGGTTTTGTCCAAATCCAAATTCCAACAAGACATAAAAATTGCTGATTCCACAAGGAAGGCACCGAGGTTTTCATCAATTTTTTATCTACCATGCGCAAATAAGAAAGGAAAAAATCTTGCACCTTCAAGCAGATGAAAATGATGATTAACACCTGAGCCAGCATCATTATGCCAGCTAATGAGAGGTGAATAAATGAAGCAGCAGAATCTGAGCTGTCATTCTGAGTGCATTTCATGGAACGTTACCAGGCGTGAACCTCAGCCAATTAAAGTGCTGAGATGAAAGAAATCTTTGGGTTGTAATTTGCGTTTCATGCAGCGTCAGAATTTGAATCAACTCATAAACAGAAACATTGAGCAAAACCCTTTCGTCACCCGTGAGGTGACCAGGCGTGATAAACGCGCTAATGGGAGCCTTGCCTTCTCCAGCAGCTCAGAGGACCTACCAAAAGCCCCTCCTCGACACTGCCTGCAGTTTCACAGAATCCCAGAGTTATCTAAGTTGGAAAAGAGCTCCAAGGTCACTGAGTCCAGCTGGGACCACCCTCACCTGGTCATCCAGACCAATGTTCAGGAATGCCTCGGACACTGCCAGGGATGGCCACTCCAACCCTCCCCAGACAGCCCCTTCCAAGGCCTTTGCAGGAGGAATGTTCCCAAATTTCCAACCCTGGCACAGCTTGAGGGTGTTCCCTCTTGTCCTCTCCCTGTTTTCTGGGATCAGATCCCAAATTCCTCCTGGATCCCCCTTTTCTCCAGGCTGAGTCCCCCTCAGCTCCCTCAGGATTCTCCATTCCCTTTTCCAGCTGCTCCAGACCCGTTCCCTTCCCTGGACATTCTCCAGCCCCTCAACGTCCCCTTGCCATGAGGGACCCAGAACTGGACACTGGACAGATTTTCCTATTTCCATGAGATTTCCAAGCTTTTCCCCTTGTCCCAGAGAAGGTTCTCCTGGGTGATGGCCAGGCTTGGGTCACCTGATGACCATCACATTTCCCGATGACCAACTCAAGGATTGCCCTGACCCGAGGGTGGTGGCTCAGCCACCATCCAGTGTCATCACGCAGATCCTTTGTCCCTTCCCTCAGGAAGCACCGCCAGGGATCTCCGTTAGAACCTGGCTTAAACCCTGCTTAAGGGCTCCTTTTGTAACCTGAGCTTTTCTTACCCTTCTCTTCACCACCACAGGTTTCTGACTGATTTTTCAGGTCCTGTCAGGAGGCAGGCAGAGTTTCTGACGGGTTTATCAGGTCCTGGCAGGAGGTAGAGATTTTTTGATTGATTTTTCAGGTCCTGACAGGAGGTAGACAGATTTTCTGACTGGTTTTCAGGTCCTCACAGGACATAGAACATCCTCTCTGCCTGTCATTTGGATACCACTGGGGAAGCTCTGAGTTTTGCTGGGAGTCATTCAATTTTGCAGCAGCTTTTGCCTTTTTTAATTCATGTTTTCTCTTCAGTTTTCTGGTCAGAAGTTCTCTAAATGTGGTGATTTTCAACAAATCTTTTTGCTGCAGGAAAATGTGTACCCTGAGATCTTTTAGCAGCTGAATCAGATAAGGAAAACTCCTAGTGAGATAAGGATCTGCCTGAGTCAGGAGGTGGCTTTGTGGTTTGCTGATGACACAAGAAGATAATGACATTTATGGTGCAGTGTTTTTGTTGGGTTTTAGGCTACTTATAAAATATGGACACAAATTCTATTTCTACTTAATATATAAATAAATTAAACCCATGGTCTTGACAATCTTCAATGCTCTTCCAACCCAATTCTGTGATTCCATGACCACTCATGAGGTCCTTGTTGTGGATTTAAAGAAGTTGTCTCTGCTCAACATGTAGAGGAAATTTCTGCCCATCTTTGGCCACCATGCTATGACCATGTTGTAATTCCGTAAATGTAGATTTACTGGAATTGTAAATTCACGGGTAAAACAGCCCCATGGAAGGCTCTCCATGGAGACTTTCCCCTCTGGGCAGGATTTGCTCAATGTTTTTGCAGCCTCATGCAGAGCAGGGAGCTTTATCCAGCGAGGTTGGCAAACTCAGGGTGGGTGAGGACACAAAAGCCCAACACAAGGATTTTCAGTGATGCAACAGTTTTAATGAGAATGAAAAGAACACAAACAACATGGCAACATCAGGATTGTAAATGCAGGCAGAGCTTGAAAGACACTTCAGTCTGTCACTGCATGCAGCCACAGGGGTGATAAAGAAGATAACAAGGAATTGAACTCATGGAGGTTTCAGGAAAGAATTTAAAAGGAAGAAACATCTGCATTTTGCTTTGCCGTTCTACATCATCCAGAGGGTTTTCCGCAGGGTTTAGCAGGAGCCCCAGAAGCCGCGGCCGTAGCGGCCGTACCAGGAGTAGGGGCTGCAATAGCCAGAGCCAAAGGCTCTGCCAGAGCCATACAGGCCCCGGTACCCACCACAGGAGCCCAGACCCCCATAGCCCCACAGGCCCCCGTAGCCCAGGGATCCATAACCCCCATATCCATAGAGACCCCCATAGCCCAGGGATCCGTAGCCCCCATAGCCCAGGGACCCGTAGCCCCCATAGCCCAGGGAGGCCCCGGAGGCTGCAAGGACGGGTGCTCCAGCAGATCCCACCACGGAATCCTGGGGGAAGGAGCTGAGGATGGGGCCGGGGAAGGTGACCACCACGGCGGGAGGCTGGATCACGGTGGTGGAGTCAGGGCACTGGCGGACGCACGGCTCGTTCCCGCTGCCGGCCAGGGGCTGGGGACGGAGGGCACCGCAGGCAGCGGAGGGGTACAGGTCGTAGCAGGACATTTTGTAGAGATTGGAGGTCAGCGGACACTGAGGAGTGAGAAAAAGGCAGAAATTCAATGGTTAAAAGATTTGACAGTTGGATGTGTGGATGAAAATAATTGTTATGTGTCAAGTCTTGGTTGTCCTTCCTTCTCATCAGTGTTTTTGTAAATCCCTCCTCTCTCAGCTGTTGTCTCTCCTTGGGTTTCATTCCTAATTTCTTGTACTTCATTCCCACCACAGAAAACCCATAGAAAATTCTTATTGGCGGAACAAACCTTCTGCAAGGTTTTGGAAGCTGCTTTGCTAATTTTTCTGATTTCTACTAAGAAGAAAGAATGATTTTACCATTTTGAACTTATGAATGTCCAACACCAACTAAAAATAAAACCATCACAAAATAACCCAAATATTAAGAATCTCAGAATCCTTATGGATGATTCCAACCTTGATTAAGACCAGCAGAAAAGAGACTGGAATTTTCTAATGGAAAATTCTAAGGGAAGAGATCCCTTAGAATGGTGCTTACCTTTCTCGCGGAGGTGAATGAGGCAAGGAAGGCGAAGTGAAGAGCCCCAGGTTGGGAGAGCTTTTATACCATTCCCAAGATCCTGGGGAACATCTAAGGTGCAATTTGGGGATGTGCATAATTGGGGCAAACCCCAAATGAATGTGACACGTAGGTCCTCAAAGTTCTGCTGACTCTTTGTTTATTTGCTGGTCCGAAGTCTCGTGAAATGTGAGAGGCGCGTTTCATCACAAAGCCCTCTTTCATCTGGAATGGTGACAAGTCATCCTCATTCTTGTTATCATTCCATTCACAGCCCTGGCGTTACAGCAGGAATTATCCCAACGCTCTTCCAGAGCTTCTCCATCATTAATGGCAAAACCCGCCTGCTCACATGGGGTCATCTGATGTGCAGAGCTTTTTTCCATTAAAAAACAAAATACCTGGAGAAAAAATTATTTAGAGCAACTTTGGGTGGTCATTTCTATCATTATTACTCTGCTTAATGTAAGAACAATACGGAACCCAAAGGAAGGCATGGAAATCATCCTGTGGTCCTTAAAAGGTTTTTGTTACAAAATCTTGGAATTATTTGGGTTGGAAAAGCCCTCCAAACCATCAAGTCCAAGCTGTTACTGACCCTCATCCAAGGCCATTCCCTGTTCTCCCATCCCTTGTTCCCTGGGACCAGAGTCTGTGGTTGACCCATCCCTGGAATGGTTTTTGAATAAAATACAGTTCATGAATTTCCAGGTTTTATTCTGAATTTTTTATTTCAAATTATTTTTTCATTGGGAAAAGACCTGAAGGGTCACGAGCCCCCAGTATTTGGCCTTGAACTGATGATACCAAGGGTTACCAAGATACCATAAATATCTTGACTGAGGTGTTTGAATGTGATGTCATTCCATAATTGTGAGGAACCTAAATCCAGCTCCATGCCTTTAATCTAATGGATCATCTACAGGATTTGCATGGACTTGCTCCTGGAAGCTTGAAAAGATTATTGTCCAAAAGCCCCTGTCCCCCAAAGGCTGAGAACCCCACCTCACCATTTAGGGATCACCTATGGCGTGGAGTCTGCAACATTAAAATGGCCCACCTGTAAACGAGGCAAGAAGGAGCCTTTGTGTCACACATTCCAAATTCCTCATTGTTCCCTCACCCCAGAAACTTCCAGCTCAGCCCTTTTTGGGATTTATGACTTGTGTATCACAGGAGCTCATGAACCCAAGGCTCCTAAGAGCCCAAGGCAATAACTCAAAGTACTTGCGTCACATTTTGACTTTTGCACCAGAGTATCCATTTTTTCCTAAAAAATCCCACATTTCCTCAGGTCCGTTCAATGTTCTCAGTGCCACCTTTGTCCAGAAAACATCAGACCCTCGACACCTGGGAAACATCTCTTCAGGACCTCCAATCCCTTTGTGGCTTTTGTTAACTTTGTGAATTCATTCCTTGTTTATCTCCCAAACCCAAACAAGCCTCAGGAAAACAAAGGGTCCTCTCTGTCTCCTCCACGGCACTCTGTGGAAGTGGCCAAAATTTAGGATTTCACTGTTTTTCCTGCTCAGGATTAAATTCCAGTAGAATTTGTGATTCTGATGAACCCATGAGCTACTCTCCAGGTATTCAGTTAATACCAAGAGGAGCTGGCTTGGTGATTCCTGATGTAATTCCAAGGAAGTGACAGGAATAATGCTGCATGTTAATCTCCCCCCCAGTTCGTCACAAGATGAAAGAATTCTCTATAATCTCAGGTGATGTTTAGATCATTATTACAAACAAATTTGAAAGGCCTCATAAACGCCAATAATGAACCCAACAATTTCATCATCCTGATGGTTGCATGAGTTTGAAATTGGGGCGGGCAAGAGATGCTGATCTGGTGCCTCCAGCTGATATAAAAGCTCCTCTGTCTCCTTGCTCCTCCAAACGCTTCCCTTGACTTCTTGGAGACTTGGGTAAGTCTGAATCTGCTCCGTTGCTCTCGGTGTATTTTTTATTGTTGGTTTCAACTCCAGTTGACGTCCAACATCCTTTCTGTTGGGTGAATCTGGACTTGGGAAAGATCAAGAACTTTTCTGTCTCTGGGGTGGCAGATAAGTGTGGAGTTCCTGTGGAGTCCTGTGGAGTTCTTGGTGCCAGGAACTCCAAACCTTGGAGCAACTGGACAGTGCTCTGAGTCAACTAAGGTGACTGGATCCCCTCCCCTATGGAGACAGGCTGGGAGAGCTGGGAATGTTCAGCCTGGAGGAACGGAGGTTGTGTGGATATGCAGGAGTTCCAGGGAAGCTGGAGAGGGACTTCCCACAGGGATAAGATATAGGGTATGGGGTCAGACTGAAAGAGGGGAAATTTAGGGTGGATATTGGGAAGAAATATTTCCCTGTGAAGGTGGGGAGGCCCTGGCACTGGATATTCCATGGATTCTCCATCCCTGGAAGTGTCCAAAGTCAGTTGGGATGGGGCTTGGAGCAACGTGGGATAGCTGGAGGTGTCCCTGTCCATGGAGTGGGTGGGACTGGATGATCTTAAGAGTCTCTTCCAAACCAGGCAATTCCAAGGTTCTCTGGTTTAGCTCTAAATAACCCTGCAACGAGTAGGGAGTTGGACTTGAGCCTTTTGAGTCACTTCCAGCTTGAGGAAGCCTGTGATTCTCTGATCCTCATTTTGATACATTTAACCCATCTCAACCTTTGCACAAAATGTTCAAGGTTTGACAAGGGTGTCACCCCTGCAGCCGTTCACACATGATAAAGCCATTTGTGTCCTGCTACCACAAATCTTCAGCTCTCCTTCACCTTCTTGCTTTCAAGTTCCTCCTCAGAACTCTGTCAAGGATTTACAGAACGTCCTTGGAGATTTGTTGTTTATTGTCTTGTCAAATGCTTTTCTGGGAAAGCCAGGTGCTCACAATCCTGTAATCTGTTGTTCCCTTGGCTCTCAGCAAAATTGGGATGAGTGGGAAGATGAAGCTACTGTAATTAAGTTCTCTATAAGCTCCATCTCATGCAAACCTGCTGAACCCAAATCTGAGTTTTCCTAATGACTCATCCAATGACCTTGGACAAAGTCGCTTTGCTCTTGCTGCTTTTGCTCCCGGTTTTCAGTTTAATGTGGAGAAATCAGTCACAGTTCTTTGAAGGATGTTACGCAGGACAAGGATTTTAGAACATTTCCCACTTGCTCTTGTGTGCAGGCACCCTTTAGAGAATTTTTGAAAAAAACACTTTTTGAGAAAAAGAGAGCACTGAGATTGCAAAGTGCTTGGAACACTCGTAATTTTAATTTAGATTTCCGAATTTTGAACTCCTTGCCTTCTTTTTTAGCCTGTGTTGACCTCCAATCCCTACAAGATGTCCTGCTATGACCTGTACCCCTCCGCTGCCTGCGGCGTCCTCCGTCCCCAGCCCCTGGCTGACAGCGGGAACGAGCCGTGCGTCCGCCAGTGCCCTGACTCCACCACCGTGATCCAGCCTCCCGCCGTGGTGGTCACCTTCCCCGGCCCCATCCTCAGCTCCTTCCCCCAGGATTCCGTGGTGGGATCTGCTGGAGCACCCGTCCTTGCAGCCTCCGGGGCCTCCCTGGGCTATGGGGGCTACGGGTCCCTGGGCTATGGGGGCTACGGATCCCTGGGCTATGGGGGTCTCTATGGATATGGGGGTTATGGATCCCTGGGCTACGGGGGCCTGTGGGGCTATGGGGGTCTGGGCTCCTGTGGTGGGTACCGGGGCCTGTATGGCTCTGGCAGAGCCTTTGGCTCTGGCTATTGCAGCCCCTACTCCTGGTACGGCCGCTACGGCCGCGGCTTCTGGGGCTCCTGCTAAACCCTGCGGAAACATCCCGGAGTAAGGAATCACCGACAACGGAGAGATGCAATCCTGGCCCCAGAGGAAGTGCTGTGACCATAGTCACCCCACACGGTGGAGATGGAAGCACACAACTCCTTGATTCGTTCACCTTCTACTTGTTGTCTTCTGGGCTTTTTTTTCTGTCTCTGTGTGTGTAATATGTAATTTATTTTCTTCTAAAATGTAACTTCACTGTCCAACTGGAGAAGAGCAACCATGGAAGGAGTTGCCTGTTATCTGTTATTCTTCATACTCTGCAATGTTTTTCTGTGAATGCTTTTTTCTCATTAAAGTGATTCTGTTCTGCAAAAAACAAATGAAGTTTTAGTTTTGGTTTCTCTGGCTGTGGGTTGGCAACACTTCTCTCTGTACAGGCTGGGGGAAAATATAGATCCTTACAATAGGCTAAGGTTCAGACTTCAAAACCACCTGGAATGTCTTAGCTGGGAGTGAAGTCAGCCACTGCTCCTTGGTCCAGAATTTGGGAGTAGGAATCTTCCCACCCAGCTGTCCTGGGGCACAATAATAACATTACAGACTCATGGACTCATGGAATGGGTTGGATTGAAAAGACCCCAAAGGTCTTCTCCTTCCATCCCCTACCATGGCCAGAGACACATCCTGCTGGACCAGGTGGCTCCAGCCTGGCATTGGACACT